GTTTTACCTTTGCCAATATTATTCTGTTTATGATGGTTTAATTTATCTAGGAAAAATACTTTACACTCTTAAAACAGATTTCACCCGGAAGTCGCAAAGTGCTGTACGGGCTAAAAACTGAATTAATGATTAATTAAAATAAATAAAACGAAATAGCACGCAGGCTCGTGATTGCAGCACTCCACAAGTAAAATAAAAAAACGGCATGTGGGATTTGAGTAAGCCAAGACTGAGCGGAACGATTATCTGGTGGAAGGAATTCCGCCAGCTTTTGTAATTTCTCTGCGATTTCCATCCATTGCCACCCCCAGCCTGGGTTTTACACCTGTGAAGCACAGCCTTGCAGCTCCATCGGGTTCTTCCGGCGAGACGAGAATGTCTGCGTCTGCAAGCAGTGCCGGGTTTCCGAGTAGCAAAGTAGCTATACATGCTACAGGCCCTGCACTTTAAAGAGCCCCGCGCTAAATGCTTTCAAGCTATCAATTCCGTTCAGTGATTCTGTACTTGCTCTATTACTATAGTACTATGCTGAGTGTTTACGGTTAGCGATTTGTTGTATCTGGTTGTATAGCAAATAAAAAAATACAATTATTTTACTATACATGTTAAAAATTGGTATTTTAATATTTACGTGTTTTTTTATTTAGGGCCCGTTTTATAACATGCTACAGGCCCTGCATCAGCTTAATCCGGCACTGTCCACAACGACACCTTCGCACGCTAAGCCACACGTAAGGGCACCAAACGGAGCTCTGGGTCACCGCCAAGAAACTCCGTGGCCCCCCCAGGAGACGGGGTGGGAGCTGCCACCCGCCAAACAACTCAAATTCCCATGTTGTGTGCTGAACTGTGATCAAGACTTCACCACTACCGAGTGTGTTGACGGCCGCTGTGATTAACCGGGTGCCACGTGAGTAAGAAGGCCAAAAGTGTGGGTTGAGTGGAATCGCATCCTTAGGTATTTCTTGGTACACAACAATAAATATATTTTGTATTGTGATTTGCTGAAAACGTAATGTTACGCAACTATTGCAATACAGACACAAGTTCATTCTATGTTGCAACGTGTCAACATTTGCAACATGACGATTGATTCAATCAAATCGATTCTTATACTCACATTACATGTGTATCACACCTGATTGCAATTTATGTAAATTATATACAAAATACATTCATTTTACCTTCGAGGTAACGGAGTAAACAAAACTGTACAAAGGAGATGCAACAAGAAATTAAATGGTAAAATTATTTAAAAAATAAAATTTTAAAAACCCGATTATTAAAAAAAATCTGAATCTCAAATATGACCAATCACCTGCGGGGACAATCGCTTGCCGAGTAAAGCTACACCAAAGTAGCACTGCTTACGCTACCTTACACCATCACGTACAGAAGCTGTTACAAATAGATTGTAAATTTTGTGGGTTTACTCTCCAACACACAAGCGGTGTGCTGCTGTATCGTCACGAATTGGCACGTTGTTTTATGTGACAAACCTTACTAATTGGCTGTGCCGGGTGGTGGCGGGTTTAACGACACCACATTTATATTCACGCGATCTAACCCAACAAAGCCCCCTATTATCGAGTTACAAATGGACAGTGTGCAACTACTGACCCGCACAGGGGACCTACGGCGGCGTACCCCCGTGGCTACAGCAGGGTGCACACGCTGCTGCCTCCTCCAGAGCAGCCCTGGCTCACGCCGCCGCCCAGCCGCGTCACCATGGACACGGAGCGGGGGCCACGGGTCGCTTCGAGGAGAGGGAGTGCGGGTCGCGGTGGAGGCTCCTCCAGACGGCCCCAGCGAGAGCCCGGCTCGCACCGCACGCGCGGGGGGGGGGGGGGGAGGGGGGGGCACACGCTGCGGAGGGACAAGAACAGCAGCGGCAGCAACGCGGTGTGGATCAATACGGCGTCCTAAAAGTCAGACGCTCGACAGAAACCGTGGCTTGAGCTGGATTTAAAACTGGGGCAGGGAGTGAGACAGCACCGGTGGGAGGCCCATGAAGCTTGCTAATAGAACTACAAGTGAGGGTGCTGTGTTGAGCTTGCTGTGGTCTGACGTGCGAGGCGTCTCCAAGCAAGCAGGCGGATTCATGCATTGCGGGGATGCGGCTTGAGACGACGGGCTGCGCGAGCGCTCACCCTGGCGCAGGGAAAGGCACCATTTCATTGCCCTGGATGAGCACGTCGCCCGCGCTGCTCAGCTCGATGTGCAGCGCCTCGTACCCCGTGCTCTGGAAGAGTAGGTTGGCCTGGATGGTCCCGCGCGTGCGTTCGAACACCGCCATCGCATAGCGGTGAAGGGACAGCACGCGGTTCTTTAGCACCTGCGAAAGACAGCATCCAGAGAGCGCGGCCCAGAGGCAAGTATTGCACGTGACGTTTCAATAACTTGTATTTGCCCTTCATTGTCCAGGGCAGGTGTTGGCAGCGTTTGAAAGAAGAACCATTTTTTTTACCACGCAGAGCTGCTTGTACGCAAACACAGCAGCAGGTATACAGATGACAAATTCTGACTTAAATAAACAAAATAGGTGATGGAATAAACAAAATAGGTGATGGAATAAACAAAATAAGTGATGGAATAAAAAAATAGGTGATGGAATAAACTGCATCTTTAGTTTCCCCCCCCCCTTTAGTTATGCTTTAACAATACAGTTTGTTGTAAAATCTGTAGTCACTAAGCATTCCATAGTGACCCATTCCCTGCCACATTGAATACATACTTTTTACGTTCATTTACGTTTAAGATTTTCCTTTTTTTTTACCGCCGGCTGCCCCACAAGAGAGCAGCCAAAGAGCCGCACGCGGCTCTGGAGCCGCAGGTTTGCCGACCCCTGGCCCAGTGCACCCGCTGCTCGACGCGGCGTAGCACGCGAGTCGAAGGGGACTCCTCGTGCGTGCTTCATTGCTCATCTCTGTTGGCTTCTTCGTGGCCCTGAGGCAAGTGGATGAGTAACCATAACGTGGTTCACATTTGAATAACATCAGAAGGATGATGATTTCCATCACAGATAAAATAGTAAAAAATCGTAAATCCCTCATTCCACAAGACCTAAATAGAATATTTAACTAAAATAATACTCAATTGTTTTTGTTTCTAAACCACACTGCATTGCATTAGTTTTAGCGACAGGTTGGCAGAGTGGTTCTGGGTTCGATTCCTGGCTCATGCACCTTGCTGTCAGTTTGTATGTTCTTCCCCTGTTCTGCATGGACCTCCGCTGGATTCACCAGTTTCCTCCGAATAAACACATGCAATGTAACTGGTATTGGCCAAACATCCCGACGCCGAAATTTAATCAACTGGAATTACACAAAGCGACAACTCTTCATGCTGCAAACACTTGGCAGGAATTTTGATTTAAAGCTTTCGTGACTGCAGGGATTCATCTTCTTGGTTCTTTCGGTAAAGTCACGTAGAAGGGAAGTAATAAAATAATAAAATAAAACATAATAATAAGACTTGGCAGGAATCTGCCGACTCTTAAAAACGTCGCGTGACTGGATAAACAATGTCCACAATACGTAAGTCCATGGCAAGACCGCATGCGACTGCCCACCAGCATGCGTGCATCCTGGGCCAGGCGCAGGCCACATCCACGACTGGTAACGACGTCGTTCTCGATGAGGCTTCCCTCGCCGCAAGACTCGATGCCGTGCCCGGTGTTGTGGTAGACGCCGTTGCCCTGCAGCTCCACCTTGCAGCTGGGCCGCACGCTGACGCCCCCGCGGCCGTTCCAGCTCACGTTGTTGCTGGCGATGCGTGCCAGCGCCGTGCTCTTGTGCACGGCCACGCCGCACTCCTCATTGCAGTGCAGCGCGTTCCAGGCGACCGTCAGCGACTCGCTGCTCTTCACGAACACCCCTGCCCCTGGAGGCGACGCAGCGTTGTAAACATTTTACACCGATTTACGAGCACATAGGCTTGGCAGAGCACGTGCAATAACAATTAGTTCATATTTCAAAGCAGTCATTGAATCTTTGAATGTAAATGTGATATCAACCAAAGGTCGTGTTTAGTATTCTTTAATTTATTTCTGACACAATCTGAAAATACAGCACTTGGGAGAGGTTGGTGGATGCTGATTGTGCAAGGCTGAGAGAATGGAGGTGGAATACGAAAAGTAGTCCTCTGCATTCTATCAGCAATGTCCACATACACAACCATCACATCACTCGGCCTCCCTCCACCCACACTCGACAGTCATCGGGTGCAGGATTTTTCAACGAAGGAACGTGGCCTTCATGGTGCCATGTGCCGACGAGCCACACGCAATTGTGCAACGCATGGCAGATACTCTTAGGTTTTTTTCGGTAAAGTCACGTAAGTAAAAAAATAAATAAATAATAACATAAATACTACACAATAATAGAAATAATAATAGAAATAAAATAATAAATCACGACGTTTCGGAGGCAACACAAGTCTCCGTCATCAGGTGGGACCGTCACAGCTAGATTTACTGTATCAAGCGCTTCAAATCTAAAACGCATGGCAGCTTCAGCTTACCTTACAAAAACCCAAAATGTATTGAAATCTTGCCTTTTGCATTTACTTCTGAATTCCACAAAATATACAAATTTCACGCACCTGCGACTAGCACGGTTGGCTACGTACAGCCCAAAAGAAGTCCAACATACATACAGTCAGGGCCGAATTAAGGCACGGGGGCTTTAGGGGCTGCAGCCCAGGGGCCTCCGCCAGCTGGAGGGCCTCCAGAAATGAAGTGAGACGTTATTTCACTTTGTGAATGCTGAATTTAGTATTTGTGGTTAGCCTTGTAAAAATAAATTTAATTTTCTTGAACTTTGTTTTCCTTTTGAAAATATTACTGGGGGCCTCACAGTACCTGTAGCCCAGGGGCCTACAAAATCTTAATCCGGCCCTGCACACAGTACATACGTAGAGTTATGAAGCACCTGCATTGTAGAGCATGTTGTTGTACTCCAGGATGGTGGTGGTGATGGCCGCGTGGCCACCGCGCCGCTCCGCCTCCTCCAGCGGGTCGCCGTCCCCTTCCCAGCTCAGCAGCTCCGCGTCGTCGCCATGCGGGCCCTCCCCTTCGGCGCGGTACATCGCCTGGCCGCCATGCGCCTCCACGGGACCTTCCTTGCGGCAGAAGACGGCGGCCCCGTGCAGGCCGTTGTGCGCGATCACGTTGCCCAGGACGTGGGGTGTGCCGACGCCATGATCCACACTCCACAGCCCTTGTTTTCTGCAGCATAGCAACGCACGCTGGTAAATTGAACACGCAGTGGCGGGCTTTCGCGACCAATATTGGGTTAGATCTCGTGAATATATATAGACGCGTCGTTAAACCCGCCACCACCCGACGCAGCCAATTGGTGAGTTTTGTCGCGTAAACAAAACGTGCCAATTAGTTACTACTTCAGCACATTACCGGTGTGTTGGAGGGTAAACCCACAACATTCATGGGTGTGACAAATAAGAGAGGCACTAAAAATTAGACGATATACGAGTCAGACATCGGGGACGTGAGATGTAAAATTTAAATGCGTCAAACATTACAATCAAGACAACAAAATAAAGAGAACAATGCAAACGAGACGGACAGCAAACGGGACACAATACGAGACACAAGTGCAACAGCCCTCTCACTTGTGAAGTTTTATCGAGCGAGTACCTTGCCAAATATGTGCAAACTGCATATGAATTCACTTTGCCAATTGCTCGTTCCCCTTGCTTTCACAATTTACCCCAATGTTTACAGCGTCCTGAGATACGGTCACATCATCTCAAGCTTTTCTGTACAGCCTGTGCACATTTGATGTCACCGTAATGTGTTTCATGGCCAAGAAATTTGAGGTTTCGGAGTTTCACGTCCGCTAACGGTTCACCATTATATCCAAACACCGGTTGTAGTTATGTTCTTAATCAAATGGCAGGCTCCTGGCTTGTGCATGTCAATAAACGTAAAAGTATCCCCATACTAAAATAGGTTGGGCAGGGCGTATGACCTTTGTTGGCATACGTTCCAGCCCTGTCAATGTAAGTGGTAGGCTGCTGAATTTCAAAGGAAAAATTGTCATTTTATTTTTCACAACATTAAACTAAAGCGAATTATTCGTTTTGAAAAGCAGGTGTGCGGTAAAAAGGTTTCCAAACCTGTGTGCTATTGCTTAAATTGGAAGGGCACCATACTTGTTTGACAGGGTCAGCCTGCCAGCTGGTGGGGAAGTAATACTACACTCCTAGAACCTGACGGGGTTCGGAATGCCTCACTATTTTTACCACCTAATTGCAGTTCTTTCTCCAGCTCTTTAATGTTCTAAACGTGTCACACGTTTTTCATATTAACTTTCTCCTGCTGCCGTCTCTCGACGATTATGCTTTTTTTTATTGGCAACCAAATACTAAATGCAGTGCCACTCTCCGCCCTACAAAAGCCATGACTTGTCACCATTTAGTTACAAATTGATTAAAGAATTATTGTTTTCGACTCATTTGTACGTCCATTATTCACTGTCGTTGTCCCATGGGTTTGACCTTCCACAAAGTCCATGGTCCACCCTAAACCGCATCCACTGCACAAACCATAGCAGATGTGGATAACTGACACACAAATGGAAAATGAAAAACCTTCTCGTGTGCAACTGTGGTCATCCAGAACAGGGTGACCGTAACAACGTATGACAGCGCAATGCCCGATGCACAAATACAACAGAGGCATCTGCTGGCTTTCCCGCCTGAATGTGAAATTGTAGTTGTTGCTCTGCATCTGCATCAGCAGCCATACAGAAGAAAGGGAGGTGGAAGTCCCCTCCCCCCCGTTGTATTCTGACACGTCCCCCCATGCGGTCTTCCTGCGCTCACCCTGGACGAAATATGGAGACCAGGTGGCTGGTAAATACGGCACAAGTAAAAATGGCATAAGTTGAAAACTAAGAAAAAATAAGATGCGAAGCTTTCGTGACTGCAGGAACATGCCGCCTAGCGGTGAGATTATCTGGTTTCGTCCCAGGTCCAGAAGAACCGTCCCCTGGGACAGCGTGGGAACCACAAAGAAGGTCCCCACGAAGTCCTTCCCGGCTATGGGGATCATCGAGGAATCCGTCAGACACAAATGTGCCACTGGTTGCCTCTCGTCTTCCGCCTCAATATCCAGGCATTGAAGGGGTCCTGGGCTCACCAGGCCGTGAGCGAGTGGTGAGCGGGGGTGGCCGGGGGGGGGGGGGGGGGGGGGGGATGGGTGGCGGCGGGAGGGGTGCAAGGAGGAAACAACAATGAACTGGGAAAAGGCCATACATATATGGCCCTGTGTTGCTCATTCTTAACTCACGATTTCATGCCAGTATTGTCAGTGTAATAATAAATTTGTATTAATAATTTGATTAATCATGATATATATATACTTATGAGGTATATAGGTAGAGCCTCACACTGTATATAGTAGTATAATGTAATTAAGAAGATGGGAGATGTGTGATGGCGCTCGATTGGGATTTCAAATTTCAGAAAACCAAACTGGAGAAGTGCTTCATGAGTTCAAGAGGGCCGCAGGCCTGGCAGATGCGACGCTGAATGAAGTGCACTCACCACAGATGCTGTTGCCTTCAATGAGTCCCCGGCCTCGCTCCCCAATCACCACGCCATCGCAAGCGCTGTGGCAGATGAGGTTGTTTCTGAGGACCGGGTCCCCTCCTCTGCGAATGTCCACGCCGCCATGCTGGTTCTCGTGTATCAGGTTACCTACCAATGCAGAAGTGCGCGCGGTCAGCCGCGCTGTCTCGCTTGCATGGGGCACACGTGCGTCCGCGCCCTGCTCGAGGTGCCACCTTACCTGGGACGACGAAAGTGGGCAAGGGCACCGATAGCTATCACATTCTCGATTCAAAGCTGCTTTCGTGACTGCAGGGATTCATGTTCTCGGTTCTTTCGGTAAAGTCACGTAGAAGGGAAATAATAAAATAATATAAATATAAAACAATAAAAATTCTCACAACGTTTCGACTGCAACACAAGCAATCATCATCAGATTTCACACCTGATGATGATTGCTTGTGTTGCAGTCGAAACGTCATGATAATTTTTATAGTTTTATATTTATTTTATATTTATATATTTATTTTATTTTATTATTTCCCTTCTACGTGACTTTTATACGTGACTTTACCGAAAGAACCAAGAATAGCTATAACATTGTAAACGTTATCAAAATGAAGGATGGCTGATGGTTATTGTATGCAACGTCAGTTCATGTAAATACATTTTATTTTTGTAATCGATTGATCAGTTTTTTTTTATTACTGGAAAGATGAAGTCTTCAAGTGTGAGACTATCTTGCATATGAGGCAATCCTGGTCTCTTGAGTTCTTACTTGGTTAAAGACGAAAACTGCAACTTGACAGTTGCTCCTTAGCACAGATGAACACCATTTTGTGCAGATGCCTTTTTTACTTCTATAAATAATATGTGCACTGTTTCCATGGTAATATGTAATCTGTAACAAGGTGTAACATGTTTCAGGCGTTTAATAAAATTGTCTCAAAGCTAGCCCTATACGGCTTGTGCAGTCGGTCTCGAGTTTACGACAATACGATTTATGATCCAAATTTACACATTTACATAATTCCGAAGTCACTTTGAGTTGGAGCTTTTGTTACTCTGACGTGTTTTTGGAGATTTTTACCTATTAAACCCTGCTAAATTTGGCTGAGAAAAGGAAAAACACATTATCAAGTGAGGTTTCTACTGTCTTTGGGAATATAGGGTCTGATTTATCACGATCTGCTTTACAACGACGGGGTTTGCAGGAACGCATTGTAATGGCGTAAAAGTGGGGACCGCCTTTATAGTAACACAGAAATGATATGCCTCAACCGTGATAGTTCTCAGCAAGAATAAAGTATGAGGCCTAAATGATTGTTTCCATTGTACTCCCCATTGTCGGCAGGGTGAAGTGTCCTGTAATGATGGAAAAGAGAACAGCGGAAGAGCTTTACCTGTGATGAGACAATGGAGCGGTGAGTGGTGATTAATTATTATTCGTATGTCACCTGTGATGGCGCAACACATGACGGTGTATACGGAGATGCATCACCTGTAATGAGACCCAGTCCATTCTCATTCACTGCAATCCCAGCTGCCAGTCCTTGATAAATGTAATTGCCACTGAAGGAGAAAACACAATCGCTGTAATAAGAGGACACACAAGTTTATCTTTTCATCGCATACTGGACCAAAACATTTTCTTTTTCTAAAGGATGTTTCCAATATGTTTTTATACACAGAGTACATAGATGACCTGCATCGAAATTAGGTAAAAGCCCATTGACACAAAAGTCTATTTTTCTAATAATAATATGAGTCACAAAAAGAAACAAATGTAACACAAGTTCAATTGGACAAATCACAGGAAAAACAAAATGAAGTAAATAAATATTAAACATTCTATAGGGTAGAACTTTCATTTTGTTCATTCATTTTAAATGAAGTATAATTTTAGGTGCAATTCAAACAAATCATCAAGGATTTGAAATAAGAGGAAAAAAGCTAATATGTATATTAAATTGACTTAAGAATAGACTATGCATAAGAATTTAAAAGTATAAAATTCTAAACACACTTCAAAAATACCTGCATTTGTATCGTCTTAATTATCCAATAGCTTATTAAAGTGAAGCTGGTACCAGCCCATCCTACAGATGGTGGCATTTTTAACGATAAGCTTGAATAAAACCGCATTTCATAAGTGACCTGAGGCCTCATTAGGATTTTGCACTCCATGTTCGACCTCATCAAGGTTGCATGAGCAACCTTAAGACATTAATGCATTTGTTCCATCTATTTTGCTCCCAACTCAAATGTCCACGTGACCAATGTGGACACAGTTGACCATTAGGACAAACACAAACCTACTTATCATGTTACACTCATTTTTCTTCATAAACAAAATATTTTCTCAACTCTGTCAACTAAAAAGATCGTACCGTGTAATCGCCAACGGTAATGTAGAAAATGAACAAGGACAGTTACTCTCAGCAAGACACTTCTATTTCAATAAACGCGCTCGCACACAGAACACAGGCTGACGGCAGGGCAAGACATGAAGAGACAAAATTCGGTTTCCCAGCCGAGACGCCAGACAGGAGAGAGAGAGCGGTGGCAGCCCCACCTGACGAGCGGGTTTCCACGGTATAGGATGCAGATCCCTGCCTCGCGATTGTTGAAAATGAGGTTGCTGCGGATGATGCCCCGGCCACCACCCATAACCAAGATTCCTGTGCGTTGTCCCCCGTGGATGCGATTACACTGCCTCGCACAAGAACGCTCTGTCACGACCAGGCACCATTTAGGAGGCACTCGGGCAGTACGGGCAGTCCTCAAATTACGAACGGCTTCCATTCCTGAGACCCCATTTGTAAGTCGAACACAATAATGCAAGGCCGTAATTATAATAAATATTGGGGAGGACACATTCCCCCCCCCCCCCCCCCCCCAATATTCAAATATGCTCAAAATGTTCCCCCCAATATATTGATATAAAATAGATTTCTGTTTATATGATTGTGGTTATGGTTGTACTTTATTAATCCCTAATCTCTGCCATTATATACAATGAAACAAGAAAAGGTAAAAAAGAAAAAACAGAGCAATGTAATACAAAACACTATTAGACATTATTGTAAAAAATAAAGAAAAAGTCCATCCTATGTGTTAGTGAATTTTATAATATTTTAGGCAGGAAATGACAGGAAATGAGTTTTCAAATTTAGATGTTTTTTTTTGGTGGAGGGACCCCCAGACCCCCTGGAAGATTTGGTCCCCCCCAATGTTGACTCCATGGCTACGGCCTTGCAATAATGTACTGTATTTAAATGCACATACGGTCAGCGTTATAAATGTGTTATGGCTCAACAAAAAATGGAACCATTGTTAAACTCACAAATAAGAAGAAATATCGAACATTTGCACGTAACACTTTGAACAGTTCCGCGGTTCGGTTCGCAAGTGCGAATTCACGTTCGCAAGTCAGATGGTTAAAAAATAAATATCTTACGGAAGCTCGTTCGTCGAAAGTGCGGCAAGTGGGGGTGACCGCTTGTAGCTGGGTTATTGAGGAGCCAGGTGGGCATGAGGGGTGGTGCCTACCAGTACGAGGGGGTTGGCCGCCTTGCGGATGTCGATGGCTGCCTCGCCGTTGGAGTGGATGTCGTTCTCCGCAATGACACCGCCAGCGGAGAGGCGCAGGAAAACGCCCGACGCTCGGCAGTGGTGGATCTCGTTACGAAACACGAGCACCTGTGGAACGCGCCCACAGGACAAACACGGCAGCAGGAGACCACCACGCAGGGAATCACTCCACGCGTAGCAGCGAATCGGTGTGGGTTATATTCAGATGGTGTGCACAGCAGACAGCACGAAGATGCAACCACATATTCAAACTAATATTCTGTACGTTTAAAATGTTGCTTTATAAATTTAGATTTATATAATTACTTTTAAGTTAAATATGGATTTGATGGTAAAAATGTTAACATCACATTAAGGTATTCTATTTTCTGTTATATCCCGACTCCGTTTGAAATGGCTCTTATATGGTAATTGAATATGACAAAGATTTTCACATGAAAGCGAATGTTCAGAATCCCATTTGCAGCAGATTGCAATCAGGAGGCACGAAGCCTGGTCCCAAAGCGCGGACTTTTCCATTTTTGTAAAAGTAGTCCCTCCACCTTTGGGAAGCACTCCAAGAGACCACATTAGTGTGTATGTTGAACTTCTTTCGCACCTTATGGAGCCAACCGTGCTCATCGGAGTAGCTGTCATTAGGATGACAGCTCAGGCCTTTCTTACAGGAATTCCAAGTATTTTTTCAGATTTTCTCTGTGTGAAAATAGAGCATTTCTGGGATTATTATTTTTGTTGCTTAGAATTGGTATTCCTTCAATATTATAAGAGGCCCCGAAATGTTAGCGATGGATTCCCAGTCTTTCCCTGCGGTAAGTTGCATAAAGAAGCGATGCTCCAGCCATGTAACAACCAACCTTGGCATCCTGCAGGCAGCGGATAGCTTGGTGGAGGTGGCGAAAGGTGTTGTGTTGGAGACGCACATGGGCATGTGTGGAGGACAGCACGCCTCCTCGCCCATCCCGGAAGAGGCAGCGCTGCACCACGCAGCCCAAGATTAGACGCACCAACAGGCGGGCTTCCTTCTCCGTGCGCAGCTCCTCCTCCAGGCTCCGAGGGCCTACCTCCTCCATGCTCAGCGAGGCCCCTGCCCCCGTCATTAGGCTCCCCACCGGCAATCTGCGCACGGCACACGCGCACACCCAAAGCATCAAGACACTCTTAAGCCCCCGCTGTTCAGTCACTCGTGAAATTTGGGAGTCATTCAGCGCCGGCAGTAAAATGTTGCAGTAAAGTCACGTTTCCTGCAATTTATTTACTGAAGCAAATTGTGTAAGTCTATCACGGTGGTAAGGACAGGAGCACCCGTACAACACAATATGGGCAGCCAATAAGAACACAGCAGTGCATTTTAACTTTACTGAGGTAGCATAATGTCAATTTTTACCGGGAATTATACCAATTTTTTTTTACATTTTTGAACAAAACTCAGATTGTTTGAATAGTTTTCACGTGTTACGGATATTATGAAAAAAGTATGGAACAGTTCGTCGAAACTTTTGTTTCTAACAAACAGAATCAGAGTAAAAAGTTTATTTTGCAAGAATGTAACGAAGGGCATCAGAGTGTTGTCGTGACCTCGTGAGTAGGTGCGCAAACTCCTTGTAGTCTTCCTCCTGCTCCGTGTCTCTGCCACTGCTGTCCTTGAGAAATGCCCCCTCGCTAACCGCTGGGGTCAGCGCGTCACCGTGGTGGTTGCCATCACGGTTCATGCCTGGTACCGTGCATGATGATATTTACAAATTTACAAGAGTTAATGGATAATTTTTTATTCACTATTATCATTACATTTTAATGGATTTTCAGAAATGTAAGGGTATTTCATTCAATAAACCAGGGATGTTACAAATAATCACCAGAACGTGGCTGCAAAAAACACAGCCACATTCATTCGACAACACAGGATGCACATATTGCAGGTGTCACTGTATGTGGCCTTGATAAACCATCCCGCAAACTCCGGTTATCCTCGCAGCGGCTTTGGGCTCACCATCGAACAAAGACGGTCACTGCATCGCACACTGGAAGATACGTTTCTGCGGCCGTCTGGAATGCTCTTCCTTCCGAAATTAGGAAGCCACTGGAGCTATGCATTTTTAAACCATCTAGAATGAAAACTCATTTCTTTAGAACTGCTTTTTGTGTTTAGTTTGTTGTCCTTCCCCCGCACCTCCGATCAGCACGGTTTGCTACGTATGGAACAAAAGAAATTCAACGACATAGAAACATATGAAACATCAACAGCACAAATTACTTTTTCTCACAGCTGCATCTGTTTCCTCTGCCAGCACGCACACACACCCCTGCCTGAAAAGAACATTGCTTTTTTTTACGCAGCTTTACCATTGCAGAGGCGGTGGGCCTTTGATGAGATGGAGTCTGAAAGGCCCGCATGTGCAGTCCCTGACACACAGTTCTGGCCCTTGTGGCTGACATTCCAGCAGCGTCCTCCCACCCGCCCCACCGCCTTGCTTCCCTGGCTGTGATGCGTGGCTCCCGTGCCGTCTCCTGCCTGCCTGCATGCGCAGGAACATCCAAGGCACACGCAACGCACGATGCGCAATCGTTTTCTTTACATACGTTAACTTACACCAGGAGATCCACTGCAGGAATGTATGCTACGCAGTATAAAATAGAGTACAATATTTCACTGACACGCGTAACATACCTTGGCACGCTAAATAAGTAGCAATAGTCTCCAAGCAATATACACGTCATACTGAACCCTAGATTCCCTTGAACCTCGGTGGCAAAAGGAGTGGAGAGGGGGTAAGATGATTCGACCCTCACCCTGCTGTTTTGTCGCTCTGCGCGCTTTCTGACTTCTTGTCGAAGCCGAGATTCAGCCAGTCCAGCGCGGTGTCCGCTCCCAGCAGGCCACAGGACTGCGCCAGCAGGTCGGCACGCAGCGACGCAGCCAGGTGCTCGTAGGCCCAGTTATGGTCGGTCGAAGGGAACCCTTCCACTGTCAAAGAAGCGCCCTCGCTCCCAGAGAACTCGCAGTTTTCCACAGCGGCCAGTGCAACGGCGTGCAGGTGAAGGCCGGCCTGGCTGAAGCTACAGAAGCGCAGGTGACACGTGGCCGGAGCACTCACCTGCACCTGCCCGTTCTCCAGGTTGCACGTGTCCATTTGCATGTGGCCCACGCTCGTCTGCGCCGCAGGAATAAGAGCACCGCAGCTTTGGGTTATCGTGCCAGTCACGGCGCAGTGACAATCATTCACAGTTATTCAATACATCATAGCGGGTGTTAAATGCTCTTGTTTGTGGAGGTGGAAGTATTTAGCAAGCAACGTAGAGTGTGTGAGATAATAGGCAAGGTGTGATCAATATATAGAAATTTGTTGAAAAATGAAGTTACATTTGTCCATATATACTGATAAGAAGAGATATCTGGTGAAGTAACTGTAAGGGGAGAGGAAATTAAAAGTAAAACCACGAATACTACATCAATAAGGCAATTTCCTAGATATGTTAATCGATGGAAGAGACTGGAATTGATTAACGATGGGTTACATGGTTGGCAAGTGGCTTCATGATTTAGCTTCAGCAACTGAGTGCATTACAGCCCTATTGATAATGACATGGCAATATCCGTTCAGCCAGCACCACTGAAACTCGAGTATCTAACCACTTCAACCATTTTAAAAAGGGACGTGAAGCTACAGCCCTTGTGTATCGTGTTTAATTTCACGATCATGTATCGCTCAACTCTAAACATAAGTCCTCCATTAATCTGCAGATTCCTCGATCTTGCGGTGCCTCCCACGGTTGGCGCACGTTCTCGTTCTCAACCAGCTGGAACCTGGAAGGAGGAATGAACGCATTGTAAACTGCGCGGCCCACTTTTAGAATCCCCGTCCCACCTTGTAGATGATGGGCGTGAACCAGGCCTGCATGAGCACGAGGTTGCAGAGGCGTACGGTGGGGCACTGCTGTTCAAAGCTGACGAGCAGCGCCACCTGGCCCAGGCTGCCCTGGCCCACGATCTCGACGGGCGCCCGCAGGACCACCTCGCTCTGCTCCTCGTAGACGCCCGGCAGCAGAAACACGCGGCTGTAGGGCGGCAGTGAGGCCAACGCCACCCGCAGGCTCTCGTAGTCGCCGCCGGGACCCACCCACGCGCTGCGACATTCGGGCCGCTTGCGGAAGAAGGGCCCGTACAGACAGCCGGTGACATCGACGGTACTCCAGCGGCTGTCGTGGCGGCGCCACACGCGGTTGGCGAGGAGGGCCCTCCGCAGGGCCTCGCGCCACGACGGCGGCTCCAATTCCGGCCGCAGCGGCCAGTTCGGTGGGCGACGGCAGGCGTGAGGCGAGCCCAGGTACAGCTGCCGCCAGCGCGTCTTGTCCAAGCTGACGACGAGCTCCCGCCAGGTGCGGCTCACGGAGCTGCAGCGGCCCAACTCGGGCAACTGGAGGTAGGAGAGGATGAGACGCCACAGCTCCAGCGGGAGGCGGCCCACCTCCATCACGAAGCTGCGGCGGACAGAGCAGGGCAATGATTGTCGAACATCGACCACCGCTGGTGGTCGCCAGCGAGACCCAGGGTGGCAGGGTCTGCAGGGATGACCCAAGGGATTTAACAAAGTTACAAAGCGCGTGCTGGAGTGAGGGGCTCGGGTGGTGGTGACCGCGACCCCAAGTATGGAGAGTGGAGCCGGAGGGATGCCCACGGTGGGGGGGGGGGGCTCCCTCTCGAGTGTGGGGGGTGGACCTCGGGGAAGGGGTAAAACGGAGTCACGGATCCCCCCCCCCCCCGCTGCTCGCGTCGCCTTCGCCAATGTGGGTAGCTGCAGCTGTCGCCAGCTCCAGCTCCTGGAGAAGATCGGCCCCCCAACCCGAGGAGGCTGCCGCCACTACGAAGATCGCCCAGGGGCTGCCGGGCAAGAAGCCCTGGCTGGCGGGGGAGCGATGGAGTGCGACATCAGCACCGACCCCAGCTGCTGTGGGGGGGGGGGGGGGGGCACTGATTGAACAGATCTCCAGACAGAGTCGAGCTGCGGCTGTGGCGGCACTGCACAGGCTGAGCCGAGGGCTCCACGCGGCCACCCAGGACGCGAATCGCCACGGCTCAGCGGTCCCCCACTCGCCGACTGACCGCTACCCATGAAGCACAATGCACACCCGAGTCAGCACTGTGTAGTAAACACGAGGAGTCAGTAGGCTCTTTTGCCGAAGACTTGGTCCCATTAAACTAAAACTGAGAAGGGGGTCGATTCCGCAGGCTTCCCCGTTCACGCTGCTGCTGCTGCCGCTGTGAGTGGCCGGGCCCCATCGGAGTCAACCCGTGGCGGGCACTTTCGCTGGGCACAGAGATGAGCGTGGGGACGGCGATCACAGAGACGGCGGTGAAGCGATGCCGGTGTTGATGATGACGATGATTGATTGCGGTTATGGTAATAATGACGGCGGTGGTTTATGGTAAGGTGACAGTGAACTTGATATTCATGATAACGGCAATGGTGCTGGTGATGATGGTGATGATGATGCTGGTGATGATGGTGATACTGGTGATGATGGTGGTGGTGATGATGGTGATGCTGGTGATGAGGATGGTGGTGATGATGATGGTAATGCTGGTGATGATGATGGTGGTGATGATGATGGTGATGATGCTGGTGATGATGGTGATACTGCTGGTGATGATGATGGTGATGATGGTGGTGATGATGGTGATGATGATGATGGTGGTGGTGATGGTGATGATGATGGTGATGATGATGGTGATGATGATGATGATGCTGGTGATGATGGTGATACTGCTGGTGATGGTGATGATGGTGATGATGATGGTGGTGATTGTGGTGATGATGGTGCTGGTGATGATGATGATGCTGGTGATGATGGTGATGATGGTGGTGATGATGATGGTGCTGGTGATGATGGTGATGATGATGGTGCTGGTGGTGATGATGATGGTGATGATGATGGTGGTGATGGTGATGATGGTGATGATGGTGGTGATGCTGGTGATGCTGGTGATGATGATGATGATGGTGGTGATGATGATGGTGATGATGACGCTGGTGATGGTGATAATGGTGATGATGGTGGTGATGGTGATGATGCTGGTGATGGTGATGATGGTGGTGATGATGGTGGTAATGGTGATGATGCTGGTGATGGTGATGATGGTGATGCTGTTGATGGTAGTGATGATGATGATGCTGGTGATGGTGATGATGGTGATGCTGTTAATGGTAGTGATGATGATGGTGATGATGGTGGTGATGATGGTGATGATGATGGTGGTGATGATGGTGGTGATGGTGGTGATGATGGTGGTGATGATGGTGGTGATGCTGACGGTGGTGATGGTGGTGGTGGTGATGATGGTGGTGATGGTGGTGGTGATGATGGTGGTGATGATGATGATGGTGATGCTGATGGTGATGATGGTGGTGATGATGATGATGATGGTGGTGGTGATGGTGGTGATGGTGATGATGGTGGTGATGCTGATGATGGTGGTGATGCTGATGGTGATGATGGTGGTGATGCTGATGGTGGTGATGGTGGTGATGGTGATGATGGTGATGCTGATGGTGATGATGATGGTGATGATGGTGGTGATGATAATGGTGATGATGGTGATGGTGGTGGTGATGGTGGTGATGGTCGTGATGGTGATGATGGTGATGATGGTGGTGATGATAATGGTGATGATGGTGATGATGGTGGTGATGCTGATGGTGATGATGGTGGTGATGCTGGTGGTGGTGATGGTGGTGATGGTGATGATGGTGGTGGTGATGATGATGCTGGTGGTGATGGTGATGATGGTGATGATGGTGATGGATGATGGTGGTGATGGTGATGATGGTGGTGATGCTGATGATGGTGATGATGATGCTGATGATGGTGGTGATGGTGATGATGGTGATTCTGGTGATGATGCTGGTGATGGTGATGATGCTGGTGATGATGGTGATGCTGGTGATGATGATGCTGGTGATGATGATGGTGGTGATGATGATGATGGTGGTGATGATGATGATGGTGATGCTGATGGTGGTGATGATGGTGATGATGGTGATGCTGGTGATGATGATGCTGGTGATGATGATGGTGGTGATGCTGATGGTGGTGATGATGATGGTGGTGGTGGTGATGATGGTGATGGTGGTGGTGATGCTGATGGTTGTGATGATGGTGATGCTGGTGATGATGCTGGTGATGGTGATGATGCTGGTGATGATGGTGATGCTGGTGATGATGATGCTGGTGATGATGATGGTGGTGATGATGATGGTGGTGGTGATGCTGATGGTTGTGATGATGGTGATGCTGGTGATGATGCTGGTGATGGTGATGATGCTGGTGATGATGGTGATGCTGGTGATGATGATGCTGGTGATGATGATGGTGGTGATGATGATGATGGTGGTGGTGATGATGGTGATGGTGGTGATGCTGATGGTGGTGATGCTGGTGATGGTGGTGATGCAGATGGTGATGATGATGGTGATGATGATGATGATGATGGTGGTGATGCTGATGGTGGTGATGATGGTGGTGATGGTGATGATGCTGGTGATGGTGATGATGGTGGTGATGATGGTGGTAATGGTGATGATGCTGGTGATGGTGATGATGGTGATGCTGTTGATGGTAGTGATGATGATGATGCTGGTGATGGTGATGATGGTGATGCTGTTAATGGTAGTGATGATGATGGTGATGATGGTGGTGATGATGGTGATGATGATGGTGGTGATGATGGTGGTGATGGTGGTGATGATGGTGGTGATGATGGTGGTGATGCTGACGGTGGTGATGGTGGTGGTGATGATGGTGGTGATGGTGGTGGTGATGATGGTGGTGATGATGATGATGGTGATGCTGATGGTGATGATGGTGGTGATGATGATGATGATGGTGGTGGTGATGGTGGTGATGGTGATGATGGTGGTGATGCTGATGATGGTGGTGATGCTGATGGTGATGATGGTGGTGATGCTGATGGTGGTGATGGTGGTGATGGTGATGATGGTGATGCTGATGGTGATGATGATGGTGATGATGGTGGTGATGATAATGGTGATGATGGTGATGGTGGTGGTGATGGTGGTGATGGTCGTGATGGTGATGATGGTGATGATGGTGGTGATGATAATGGTGATGATGGTGATGATGGTGGTGATGCTGATGGTGATGATGGTGGTGATGCTGGTGGTGGTGATGGTGGTGATGGTGATGATGGTGGTGGTGATGATGATGCTGGTGGTGATGGTGATGATGGTGATGATGGTGATGGATGATGGTGGTGATGGTGATGATGGTGGTGATGCTGATGATGGTGATGATGATGCTGATGATGGTGGTGATGGTGATGATGGTGATTCTGGTGATGATGCTGGTGATGGTGATGATGCTGGTGATGATGGTGATGCTGGTGATGATGATGCTGGTGATGATGATGGTGGTGATGATGATGATGGTGGTGATGATGATGATGGTGATGCTGATGGTGGTGATGATGGTGATGATGGTGATGCTGGTGATGATGATGCTGGTGATGATGATGGTGGTGATGCTGATGGTGGTGATGATGATGGTGGTGGTGGTGATGATGGTGATGGTGGTGGTGATGCTGATGGTTGTGATGATGGTGATGCTGGTGATGATGCTGGTGATGGTGATGATGCTGGTGATGATGGTGATGCTGGTGATGATGATGCTGGTGATGATGATGGTGGTGATGATGATGGTGGTGGTGATGCTGATGGTTGTGATGATGGTGATGCTGGTGATGATGCTGGTGATGGTGATGATGCTGGTGATGATGGTGATGCTGGTGATGATGATGCTGGTGATGATGATGGTGGTGATGATGATGATGGTGGTGGTGATGATGGTGATGGTGGTGATGCTGATGGTGGTGATGCTGGTGATGGTGGTGATGCAGATGGTGATGATGATGGTGATGATGATGATGATGGTGGTGATGCTGATGGTGGTGATGATGATGGTGATGATGATGATGGTGATGATGATGATGCTGATGGTGGTGATGATGATGGTGGTGATGATGATGGTGGTGATGCTGATGGTGGTGATGCTGGTGATGCTGATGCGGGTGATGATGGTGGTGATGATGATGGTGATGATGATGGTGGTGATGCTGATGGTGGTGATGCTGATGCTGGTGATGATGGTGGTGATGATGATGATGGTGATGATGATGGTGATGGTGGTGATGATGATGCTGGTGATGATGATGCTGGTGATGATGATGCTGGTGATGATGATGATGCTGATGGTGATGGTGGTGATGCTGATGGTGGTGATGCTGGTGATGGTGATGGTGGTGATGCTGATGGTGATGATGATGGTGATGATGATGGTGGTTGATGCTGATGGTGGTGATGATGATGATGGTGGTGATGAGGGTGATGGTGGTGATGCTGATGGTGGTGATGCTGGTGATGGTGATGGTGGTGATGCTGATGGTGATGATCATGGTGA